CATGAATAATACTCAACTCAATATATAATCAAGATACAAATAAATGATAGGGTTCACAAACAATCAATTACAACATATTACAAGGGTTCCACAACATCCAATTTAATTGGAGAACTATTCCATAGCTAGAGTGAGAAAAACAACAAAAATGGAGAAGACAATCATCATAAGAAGAAGAGAGTTCCCTGGCTGCTCTTGGTGGTGAATTCAAGCCTCCAATGATGGTGGGAAGCTCCAAATCTCTAGGTTCGTCACTCTCTACTCAGCATATGGATTTTCACTCTCTAAAATTGCGCTTTAAAAATGATTTATGCTAGGAATGACAATGGGGAAGGTCCTGGCGGGTATCTCGATGAGTATTTAGTTAGAAGGAAAATATGAAAAATGTAGTTAGTTATTTAAAAAATTGAGGTTCTCACATATTTACAACTTTATTGTATTTACAATTTTATTGTATTTACAACTTTATTGTAGCAAAAATATGCGGTAACAAAAGTACAATTACAAGCAATTCAAATAGAACTACATCTAGTTTAGGCAAAGACGGGTCGAGAATGGGTCGGTACAAGGCAGGTCAGGGCAGGCCAGGTCGAGGGAGAGTACCTATGCCCGCGCCGCGCCGCCAACAGGGCAGGTCAGACCTGCCCCAAAATATGTCAAATAAGTCGGGTAACACGGTTCAAGTCAAAATTGACATCCCTAATTTATGCTCCTTTATATAGTGAGGAAATGCGAAGTTCACGATTTCCCGTCAAGGTCGTGAACTTTGCAACTAAACTGTAAGGTTGACTAGATGCGCACCGTTCCATTTAAACACTTCACGACCTAAGGCCATGACGTATGCAGCTACCCACGAGATGTCCTCTTCTTCCTGGGACACTACAAAGTTCACGGGTATGCAGAAGTCACGCCCCGGCTGTAAAGAAATGCCCTGAACCGTGAGCTTGGACTCTTTTCACCAATTTGTCTCGTTTTGGCTCCCTTTTGTCCGAATTTCGTTCCTTTCACCAATTTCACATGCTAGAACTTGAAACATAATCAAACATGCAAAACCTAGTATAAAATGGCTCCAAGGATGATGCAACACAAGTCAAACAACCACGAGAAAGGGGGTATAAATCTGTATAATTTGGCTCAAATCATTCTTGTTGTCGCCAAGAAAGTACAAATTCTCCTTGGGATGCCGAAGCTCCTAATGCACATGCAACGGAATTTGGAATGCCACTAGCTCGTCAATTTCACTTTGCAAACCCGATCCTCAAGATAGATATCTTACTCATTATTTAGAAAATTCAAAGGGTAGAGAGTCTTCCACCAAAGACAAGCGTAATTTGCATGAGTATTACTTGATATCTAAAAATTTTAGATAATATTCTATCTCAACATGTTTTGAGAGCTGATAACAAGGCTGCTCATATTATGGCACACTCTAAAATCCATTGGGGTGAGGGAATTGTTTGGCTTTAGATACCCCATGTGTTTCTTGTTGATCATTGAAAATTGGACAATGTAACCACAAATGACTACCACATTTTGATAAAAAAATTGACATTTTGGTAAGTTTACTCGAGCAGACAACTCATTAGCTAGAGTTGCACAAAAAAACTGTCTAGATAGAATCACACAAATTGAAACTAACCCTTTTTAATCATTATTGGGAAGAATTCATTATCTATTGAAGAAAATCACTTCCTAGTAGGGCTGGGAAAATAGATCAGACCGTTTGAAAAACCGTGGACCATACCGGACCGCACAGTTTGGTCCGGACCGTAGACTGTAAAGAATGGTTTGGTCTGCTCCATGTTCTGTATCATATGAAGTTTGGATCTCTTGGTCTGGTCTGGTCTAAACCGCGGTTTACCTGACCAAACCGTGGATTTAGCTGACTTCCCAATACATGTTAGTAGCCCACTCCACCACTCTTTTAACTTGCTCAACGAGACTCAAGTCTCAACCCTAATTTTGAGAATCTCATCCCCTCCTCCATTCACAACCACATTTCACTAGAGACTAGAGATGATTGTGTCTCCATATGATATTATGTTCATATTATGACGTTATGGTGCGAGTTAGGATGCTTTGACTTTGTATCTTTATTATTTACTAATATTTAGGGTGTCAAAATTATTCATGCATGTTAGATTTTAAGTTCTAAGCTAAAAAACCGTTTTTCTCGATTATTGGTTCAATTTTTAGTGTGGTTGACTTAACAAAGTGTTCATTTTTTGTTCGATGTGGTCTATTTGAACTAATCCATACCGGACCAGACCGCACAAACGTGATCTGGTCTGGACCTTTTAGTATGTGGTCTTGTCTCTGATCTATACTATAGCCTCTTGGTCTGGACCGTAGACCGTATATATGGTCTGCACCGTTCCCAACACTCATGAAACGAAACCTACAAAATGCCTCCTGAGTATAGGTGTTAAAACAGAACCCGAATCGACTAACCCGCCCGATCAACCCGACCCGCAACCCGACCATAACCCAAATTGACTAAAAGTCAACAAACCGTAACCCGCCCGACCCGCAATCCGACTAACCTGTAACCCGATTAACCTGAACCTGATCGACCTGCAACTCGATTAAACCCGCAACCCAGTTAACCCGATTGACCAGAACGCGACTAATCCGCAACCTGACCGACTCAACCCGAGCTTCACTTAATCCATTTGAATAATTATTATATTATAAAATACATAGTTTTTCAAAATAAAGTTTTTCATTCTAAACTTAGTTAAAATTATTTCTTCATTTCGAATAGCAAATTTAAAAATATGAAACTCACTTGATATTATATATTTTAAGAAAATTAAAAAAAATTGAAACATGAAGGCCACTTGCATACAAAGTTCTTTAACAAAATTAAATAAAGTAAATATAAAATATAAAATCATCAATGTGAATATTAATAATGAATAATTAATAATTGAGATCATGGATAATGTTAATATAATATATAAATTAAAATCTTTTTTAATTTAACTATTCAATAAAGTTATCAATTAAATATAAATAAAGAAAAGCAATGTATTTAATAATTTGATGTTTTTAAAAGAATATAAATTTTTTGGTGTATTCATCTTTTTGGAAAGAGAAAGAAGAGGAAATTATGTTCTTTTAATTTTGTAGAAAAGAAAAAGTGGAATTTTGGTGGTTTTGATTTGTGGGAAGTGAATAAGTGGGAAAGTTTGGTTCTTTTGATTATGAAAGAAAAATAATGAGGGAAATTTTGAGTTTTGAACTTTTTGTGAAAAGAAGGAAGGAAGAGGGAAATTTGGTTCTTAAAATGGTAGAGAAAGAGGAGGGAAATTTCAATTTTGGTTCTTTCAATTTTATGAAAGAAAGAGAGGAGGAAAAATTTGGTGTTTCTAATTTATGGAAGGAGAATTTTAGTATTTTAATTTTTTATGAAAAAGAAAGAAGAAAACAAATTTGGTGTGTACCACAATCATTTATTTTAGAAAAATTCACTTAATTTGTCTATTTGTTTTCTATACTTCTACATTTCTTGCAATTTCAACACTACATGATCGTTATTTTACAGAACTTTGTAAAATTTTCGCACATTTAAGTTGTGTTCAAGTTGAACTTTCATTTCAAAATGAGTGTTAAACTTGACATGTTAAGTCTTATGATTACAATAACTCAGTTGAGTTGCGAGTTTGAAAATTTTGGTTAATCGGGTTGCTAGTCACTTTGGAATGAAAAATGAGAGGGAGATTTGGATGGGAACTTTGGAATGGAAAATTTATAGGCGGGTGAATATGAGCCAACAATTATACTAAACTCGATAAGTAATTTTTGATGGTTTGTTGTTTAGGGTATAAAGTATATGGTTAGGGTATAAGGTACAGATGGTTTAGGCTGTATATGGTTAGGGTATAAGGTATTGATGGTTTTGACGATTCTAAATTTTTTATTAACATATGTTCACTTGAAGTCATTTAAAATATTTAACGGCAGGAGATCTTTTTTAATTTATGTTTATGGTACGTAGTTATGGTACATGGTATATGGTGTAGAGTATATGATATATGGTTAGGGTATAGCAAATATCAATTTTTTATCTATGTTTCGAAAATCAAAGTATGAATTTCACTTTAAATTAACTATACTTGCAAAATCACAACTCATAGGAATATATGGTTAAGGTATAGGGTATGTTGTTAGTGTATAATATATTGATGGTTTAGGGTATACGATCAACAACATATATTTACTTAATATTGTCGATTGAGAGTAAGGCTAAGTGTATAGGATTTATGTTATTGAGTAAGTTATGATTGAAGTCACAACAATTTTACTAAATTTGATAGTTAATCTTTAATGGTTCAATTTTTAGGGTAATTCGAACAATTTTACAAATAACTTGTTTGACAACAGTTTACTGAATTTATTAGGACACAAATAACTGTTTTTGCCAAATACCACACGCCAAATACTAGAGTTGCATGATTATTCTAAACGAGATACTATAATTCAATTACTACTGAAATAATATTAAAATACCAAATAAATAATTAATGGTGTCTTTTGGTTGCAAATATTGATATAACCATTACTATTAGCTAGTGTACTTTACCAATTATGATTAATTACATAACAAGTTTGCAAGTCATATAAATTGATTCAACATTTTGACTAGTTTTTTTTTAATTAAGTATATATACGAGGTAGAAAGAAATTGGTTAAAAATTTAGAAAAATATTTTAAATTAATGTAATAAAATGTGTAAGTTGGTAACGAGTAAGAAGTAAGTTACTCGATGCGCTGACCCGAACAACCCACGACCGGATCCGCCCGCAACCCGCCCGATCCAAAACCCGATGAACCCGTAATCCAATTTGCCCGCAACCCGATTGAACCCGAACCCGGATAACCCGCAACCCGACTAACCCATAATCCGTTTGAACCCGAACCCAATAAACCCGAACCCGATAAACTCAAACTCAATAAATTCACATCTATTTGAACCCGGACTCGATTGAACCCAGCCCGAACCCACCCGATTGACACCTATACTCCTTAGTCCTTCCTTAATGCTTAAACCCTCCGTTCCGTCTGAAAGCCTCCCACCGGTCGAGTCTCCGAAATCGGCAAACTGCCTCGGGGCTTATCCTTCCGCCATCGTAGAATCTTCCTGATGGCTCCCTTTTGCATAATTCGCGTTTAATTCTTTTGCGAATCTCACCGGCGGGAAGAATGGCGGCCTCATCATATCTCTCGCACTTGCTCTACGCCTCGATTCATCCTCAACCCCCGGCGAAATCTATCAGTCTCGGATTTCGTTCTTCCACCATTTTGGGGTTCCAGGTTAGCATCATCAGCTAATTTTTCCTGTGTATCCGTTCAATTAATTGCTCTCCCGTTAGAGAACCAGATGCGGGTAATGGTATAGAATCTCTTCTTTAGCTGGGATATCCGTTCCGTGGGAATTTCGTTCAGGCGGAAATTTGGTATCAATGGTTTGTCGTTTAGGAACATAATTCTCTGGCTAGGTTTCCTGGAAGGTGTCTGTAGGGTCTGGGTGTTGTGGGATTCGAACTTTCTTCCCTTGAACTTGTTTGCTTCTTCAATGTGTGAGAATCATGAGTCTACTGATATCAGCTAATCAATATGACTGCTTTTATGACCACCATACTCTTACTTCAACTTTGTTTTGCTGTGAGGAAACTCATTTAGTCTCCATTAAAGTTGATCTGGTGTTCATTACTAATTAGGCAAATGCCATGTGCTGGATGAAGCAACAATTTCTTTTGTTGTCACTCTACACTTGTAGGCAAATGCCTTGTAGCTAGGGTGTTCAACTAATACATAATGCATGACTGTTTATGGCAGGGATCATCATCATATCCTAAGCGATGCTACTTCAGTTCAAGCGTCAAGTCAAATGGAATCTCCAGACATGCGAGGGTTCATAATATCTCTTGTAGTATAAACATGGCTGCGGGGAAGTCGGACGATCCTGAAAGGATAAACTTAAGGCAAATAGTGCATAAAGGAATGAAACTGTGGGGTAGTTGTCCTGAGCCCGTGAGGAGCTTCCCTTGGAACACTGCGTTCAACAACTTCATCCAGCTCCTGCTTGATTTGACTGTAACGGTTGTCAAGTACCTGGCTGTACCTCTACTGCTGATTACTACCCTAAGTGAGATGTCATATTGTGCACATCATAAGAAGTTGGTCCTCATTACTTTTCCTCTACTCATTGGCTTTGCTGTTGCTGGGTTTTTAAGAGATTCTGCTTTTGAACTGTCCCCATCGCTCAAGGTTAGCTCATCTTCTTTGGTTTTCTAGCTGAAGTTTTTTCCCCCCGACTTTAGGACCTTCAGTTGGAGTTCATTGGATCTTAAGCATTGTTATGACATCGATTCTTTTTATTCTTGTGTGATGCTAGTCAAAATTTGATGGGGCCGAATGGTGGTGCTCTCTAATTGATGTTCCTTTCTCACAAGCAGAAACAATGAAATTCAATGTAAAGGGTTAAGCTAATGCAACTGTCTACTGGATTTTGTTTACAGGACGCAGAAGTTCCATGGCATTTGATTGCAATTGCAGCATTCTTCGCTTTGATAAAATTGCCAGGCCCATATTATCCTTTCTGGGGCCGCATATTCATTCCACACATGGCCAATGGAGTGCTTTGGAGGACTCTGTGGTTTGGCTTTATGTGGAATAGAAGACCTAGAAATGGATCTGGGGAGCAATCATTCAACCCAGTTCATTAGATGGTGCGGTTGATTTCATCTTGTTTTAAGTAGTCCCGGTAATTTGATTTATTAGCTAGGCAGCTTTGCTTATATACATTCTTTTGTACCAACCACCAACAAATTTTGAGTGCTAGGAAGTCATTTCGTCACGTCGTGGATGTTATTCTTCTCCGTTCCCCTGGTAGATTGTATTGGTTTTGTTTACACATGATGCAGGTTTTTTTCCATGTAAGCTGCTTCATTTCTCATGCCTTTCATGGCGATGGATGATGTTTTGAACTTGATGTTCAGTAAGTATAACGCTTGTCATATATATTTTTATATTTGAACATTTTGTAAAATCTATCTATCATAAAAACAATCAAATATATTACCTTCATTGTATTTCACCTAAAAATTATTGATTTCATAGCTCAACCATTTTCAAGGAGCAAACACATTGTCGAAAGAGTTTTTTTCAAATTACCGGAAAAAAGTTTTTATTTTTCAAATTTAATAATATTTGTTCGAATGTCATATAAATTATCAAAATGTATTATCATGATAAAAATAGATATTCATAATAAGTAATTTTTATTAGGCCTGATAATTGGTTGTCGGTTATCCGGTTTAACCGAAAAATCGAGTCGAATCGTCGGCTAATCACCGAAATCGAAAATTGATAGGGATTGTCGGTGTCGGTTGGCCTTTGGAGGGGAATTCTATAACTGGCAACAACCGGTTTTTAACCGAGAACCACTCGGTGCATCGCCTATAATCGCCAGTCCCAATCCCTATCCCTCGCCGATTGCCAATCTCTCCCTCTCCTCTTGGCTCTCGCCGCTCTCTACCCTTTCCCAGTTCCCCCTTCTCCGGCATGCCTCCACCAAAACTCGTCGCCCACCAGCCACCACCATCTCGTCGAGCTTTCCGCCTCAATCGCCCCTACCTGACTTTGCCCATCCCTTCCTTGTCGAAAGAGGTCGCCGGCTCGGCGCAGCGGAAGCAGATCCACCAGATCCAAGGTCCCAATGTCGCTGCCGCCCCTTCTTCATCCTCCAGATCCAAGGTCACAAATCGTGACGGCAGTAGAAGCAGGTCGATTCGCGTCGACAGTAGCAGCAGATCGATCATTGGTCGGCGTCGCCGTCCCCTGCATCGCTTTGCATGTTCCATCCTCACCACCCTGTCTACTTCCTCGACGTCGCCGCCGTCACCTCTCATCTACCTTGCTGGCGCCCCTCGTCGGAGCCAATTTCTAGCTCATCGTCGCCCTGTCTCTCATAATGGTGAGATTTGACGGAGAGATTCAACAGCGAGGGTCGTGGTGGCGACGAACGAGAACTTTGACTGGCGACCTCTCCCTCTCCTTTCTTGTCGAAGCAAGATCCAGAACAGTGGAAGCATATCCTTCCCTTTGTCATTCTTCCTCTTCCTCCTGTGTTCCTCTGTCTCTTCTTGGCGATAGAGGCGAAAGTAGATCCTTCTCTGCCGTCCACAACCCGATTTGGCGCGAGATTCGGCAGTCGGATCTAAAAATTCGACCAGATCCACCCCCTGCGTCGGTCTTCAGCTAACCGCGACACCAACCCGAAACCATCAACGACGGTTTTTGGCTAATCGACAAGTCAATCGATGTCAGTGGCGGTTGAGGTTTTTGGATGATTGTCGGCTCCGGTTAACCACACCACTAACAACCTAATTTTTATACAACACCTTAATTATTATGTTCTTACCTCAAAGCAAGGGGTGTCATGGACCCCCTTGTTACATGCTAGTTACGTGCCTGGTTGGGAGCTTCATGTTTTAGGAGATTTTACTGTTTGATCTATAACGTGTGTAGCCCAAAATTAAAACATGATTTTTTTCGTTGATCTATTACACTCTGTTTGGCAACGGGGGGGGGGGGGGGGGGGGTGCAAATTTGAGGGGCTGCAAATTGAAATGTAAATTGTAGGGGAGAGTAAATTTAAGAAGGTGTATATTATTGTTTGGAAGAAAAAAGTCGGACTGCAAAATGAGGTGTAAGATATAAATTTTAATGTAATAATAAAATAAATAATAATTTACTCTATTGGATCTTATCCCTTATTTCCTTTCTCGCAGATATGGCCTCACCCACTTTCTCTCATTCCCTTGTCTTTTGTTGTTGTTGAAAGACGGAAGACTTAGCATCCTAATTCATAAAACTGATATAACGATCCATGGAGATAGCCATGGAACTACAACAACTATTTACAAAGGTTCGATTCATATAGATTGAAAGGATGTGTACCAAAAGGGTCAGATGACCCTTCCTTGCGAAGTAATCGGCAACGTAATTACCCTATCTATACACATGGGAGACCTTAACCTCCCATTCAAAATAAAAAAAAGTTTTCCAATGCGTGCAACGATGAGTCCATGGCGATGATCCACACCCTTGTGGTTCTTCATGATACTGATTGCAGTTATTGAATCGAGATTCAGCTCAACCTTGCGGAACCCTTTCTTCCAAGCCCTTTGAAAGCCAATTTCTGCTCCTTTAAGTTCCGCCATGGTAATCATACAGTTCCCCAAGTTGCAGACAAAGACATTAAGGCATCTTCCAAAGTGATCTCGATTTAAACCCCTTATCGCTGCATTTACTGAATTTTGTAGGACTGATCCATCGGTTTGGATCTGGATCCAATTCTCTCTAAGTGGTTTCCACTCAATTAGTGTGTAAATGTACTGGTTTTTTTTGGGTAGAATGATGCTTCTTTCGTCATTGATCCTTGCTTGCTGGTAGACCCGAATCCAAGAGATAATCCTGCTAATGAGTCATGTTTCTAAGAATCTTTTCCCATCCAGAGTCTCATAATTTCTCTGCTTCTAGGTCAACCGAGAAGTAATTCCATAGTTAGTCCATCTGTCCTCATCTTTAAGGTTGTCCATCAGCCATTGCTTGAAGCTCTTTATGTCCTGAGGAGAGTGACCAATCCTGAAGAAAAATTTGACCCCCTCAGTTTTCTTACAGCATCTGAGGATATGTTCAATCGTTTCAAGCCCTCCATTGCACGCCTTGCAGCTGCCATCAGTAGTCAGCTTCTGATTGTTCTTTCGTAGTTGGTGAGAAGTCTGTTGTGCAGAACAAGCTAGAGAAAATGCTTAACTCTGTTTGGTCCTCTCCACTCCCAAAGTTCCTTCCAACCTATTTGAGGCTCCTTTCCAATCTCGTTGGCATCAAACAGATAAGCCGATTTGAGTCTAAACCTTCCATCCTTTTCAAGCCCCTAGATTTTAGTATCTTCTCCCATTCCTTGGACTGGCACTTCCATCCATACAATATGAAAGAATCACTCATTAGGCAAGAGTGATTTAAGTTTGGTCCAATCCCACTCACCCTAGTCATTCACCATCTCAGCGACAATGGTGCATTTCTCTTCATCAGTCAGGGTCTTAAGACTGTAATCCTCCAGGATGTTGTCGTGTTCAATCCAAGGGTGATTCAAGAAATCGGTCGTTTTCTCATCCCTGATGCTCCAAAATGTGACTTTTTGCATAAAATGGTAGCTTTAAAGATGCCTCTCCATAGGCTAGAATTATTGCTGCTTTTCATTCCCAAAATCTCTCCTTCTCATTGATGGAAGTACTTCCCTTGCATCACTCTCACCCATAATTTGTCTTTGTTGTTTAAAATCGTCCATGCTAGCTTCACCATATAGGCAAGGTTGAGACTCCAAGCTGGTATGAGTCACAGACCTCCTTGCAGCTTCGGGCTACAGATCTTGTCCCATGAGACAAAATGCACCTTTCTTTTCCCTTCATGTGATGCCCAAACAAACCATCTAATCCTGCGATCAATATCATCACAAACAGAGATAGGAAGCATGGTAGTTTGCATATCATAATTAGAAATCGCATTCAACCGACAATGCGAAGGTAACTCTACCAGCAAGGGATATAGTCTTAGCCTTCCAAGCTGTAAGTCTTCGATCAATCTTCTCCAATATGTACTTGTAGGTGTTCTTGGATATTCTTCCAAAGAGGACAGGTACCCCAAGGTACCTTCCAAGGTCGTCAGTTTCGTGAATCCCCAATTTTTTGCAGATCTCCCTCCTGCTAGGATTCTTAGTATTTTTGGAGCACAAGACCCTGGATTTGTCTTTGCTGATCTTCTCACCCGATGTAGAGCAGAAGTCTTCCAGGCAGTTTATCACCACATCCGCTTGTCTCGGGTTAGCTTCAGCAAATAACACCAGGTTGTCTGCGAAGAACAAATGGGAAAGAGGAGGTCCCCCTAGTGACAGGCACAACGACTTCTAGTTCTTGTCTCTAACAAATTTCTCAATATAGTGGCTCAACCTTTCAACACAAAGGGTGAACATGTATGGTGACAGCGGGCATCCTTGGCGCAATCCCCTACTATGAGAGAAACTCTCTGATTCACCAACGTTCTAGAGCACATGCATCTCAGTAGAAGAAACACATTGCATAACAATTGAAACAAATTGGGTTGGGAAGTCAGCAAGATGCAGAGTTTGCTCGAGAAAGCTCCAGTCAATTTGATCATAAGCTTTTTCAAGATCAATCTTCGCTAGCATCATTCCTTTTTCCCCCTATTTTTTGGCCATCGTATGAACTGTTTCGTGCAAAATGAAGATATTATCAGTAATATACTGTTTAGAAACAAAGCTCGTTTGGTTCTGTTTCACAAGGTTTGACATTAGTCCTTTGATCCTATTAGCCAAACATTTGGCCACAGTTTTGTACCCAATATTACATATGCTAATTGGCCTGAACTCATTCATGGAAACAGAGGAATCATTCTCTGGAATTAAGACCAACAATGCTCACATAGTTTCAATAATTTTAAACTTAAAATGAAAGAAATGTTTAAACATATTAATGCTTAATTCATTTAAATCAGATGAATCATTTATTTTACAATATTGGTATTGGTAATTGTCTACAAATTATAAAATCTTTAACTGATAATAACCAAGGTTGAAAAAACACTAAGCATAAGGCATATTATAAAATCTTTAACAAATTATAAAATCTTTAACTGGTAATTGTCTACAAATTATAAAATCTTTAATTGTCTACAAATTATAAAAGCTTAAACATAGTTTAAGCTCGATAATAACCAAGGTTGAAAAAACACTAAGCATAAGGCAAAAGTTTTGGTTTTGCCTAGCGAGTAGCGCCTCATTCGCCTAGGTGTTGTGAGCATAAAGAGCTTTTTAACATATAGTGGCAAATTACAATTTCTAATTGATGGAGGGATTGAAGTACGAATCGGTGGTAGTTTGAGATGGCGTCATCTTGGGGAAGACAATTGTCTTTTTTTGCCATTTGTCTATTAGTATGATTAAGTGTATCTCCAATTGTCTAAGCACAACTCACAACACAATTCTTTGATCGAAATTGAGAGGAATTTTTGTGATTTTTAGGGTTTCATTTTTGGTAAATCTATATGTTAGAGCTTCTATTGTGTGAGGTTAAAAAGTTGGGTGGGTCGTGTGTCAACCACAGTCAGCCACCCAATTTATTGTGAGTCACCAATTTTACAACCCACATATGAAGGGGTCGTTTGGAAGTTGCGAATATTAAATCGTTGCATTGTAATGAATCACCATAATATAAATGCATATATTGATACAATGGATGCATTTTAACAATACATTGTTTGGTTGTTGAGATTCTACTTTATGCATTGATTTACATAAAGTTACTTTTATCGGGAAATGTCATATTTACCATCAACTTTTAGTATAAGACAAAAAAAATATTAGGGATATAAATGAAAAGAAAAAGTTGACACAAATCTAAAAGCAACAATCACAATTTTTAGTTGAGATTGTATAATGCATCATTTTTTTGTGATTGTTGGTGGGACCTATCTAAAACAATGCATGCATAATACATATGGGTTAATTGCATGGTTGGTCACTGAGATTACAAAAAACGTTCATGTTTGGTCACTGAAAATATTTAAATCCAATGTTGGTCACTCAAATTAGTTAAATGGTTCAAGTTTGGTCACTCTCCGTCCAACTCCGTTAAATATGTCTGATGTGGCAGTCAACCCTCAAAGTTGACCGTTAACTCGGTGACGTGGCAATTAAAAAATAATAAATAAAATAAATTTTAATCTTCTACCATTGCCAACTCATTTTCACAATAAAGTAAAATAAAAAAAAATTAGAGGCTCCTTTAAGATCACCTCCACTTCGTGGGCGAAGCTCTCGTCGCCGGAGGCTGAACAGTTCCAAACGCTTCCTCTTCCTCCAATTCCTCCTCCCCATCCCCTTCCCCCACCAAATTCCCCTCCAATTGCCCGCCGCCGCCGCTCCACCACCAAATCTCCATTCTTCGTTCGCGAACCGTCCCGAGATCTCTCTCGCAGAGAGAAAACTCTGAAGCATCGCTTACCCTAATCTCCATTCTCATAGTCCTAATTGTTGGAATTCGAATTCGGCAGAGAAGAAAAGGGAAGTCAAAATTAGGTTCAGGGCTCGGAATGATTAGCAGCAGGAACACAACCCTGGTGAATTCAAATTCGAAGAGATCCGAAAAGCGACCAAGAATTTCTCCAGAGACAACATCATCGGGCTGGGAGGGTTCGGCAACGTATACAGAGGGCAATTAATCGGCGGCGGCGGCAAAGTCGCCGTGAAGAGGTTCAAGAACTGTTCAGCCTCCGGCGACGAGAGCTTCGCCCACGAAGTGGAGGTGATCTCAAAGGAGCCTCTAATTTTTTTTTTTTTTACTTTATTGTGAAAATGAGTTGGCAATAGTAGAAGATTAAAATTTATTTTATTTATTATTTTTTAATTGCCACGTCACCGAGTTAACGGTCAACTTTGAGGGTTGACTGCCACATCAGACATATTTAACGGAGTTGGACGGAGAGTGACCAAACTTGAACCATTTAACTAATTTGGGTGACCAACATTGGATTTAAATATTTTCAGTGACCAAACATGAACGTTTTTTTAATCTCAGTGACCAACCATGCAATTAACCCTAATACATATATTCAACAATACATATATTCAACAAATACAACTCTAACAATCACAACTTTCAAACCAACAAAGTATTCCAACCGATTTGTGTCTCGGACTCTCGGTACAACCAATATCCCACCAATATTGACAACCATGAGCCAAACCACAACCGCTACTGAATACGGTGTCGTTCTCTCGCCCGCGAATCGATAACGAATTTCTTTCGTTGCTTGTAAATTTTACCCCTTTTGCTTCTGCGCTCCACTTTCTTTCTCCTCCCCTATTAGTATTACATCTCCACAGTCGGTCTCTGAACTCGGTGGCGGCTCGTCTCACAACCCCAGCTCGCCATCCCTCCCTCCGCTCGCCATGGGAGACCACCTCCAGCAGCCTGACGAAGAACGCAGTGAGTTCAGTGACAGCGGCAAGAGGAAGTTGGAGGACACAATCGAACTCGCCAAACAGAAAGCTCAAGAAATCGCCGCTCGGCTTATTAGCGACGCCGCCGACCCCAAGCGGCAGCGCCTCGGTTCGGAAAATCCCTCGGAGCCTTCTCCATGGACTAATTCCGCCCCGCCAGCTCCTTCTTATCCTGGTTAGTGCTCCTCTTCCCCCATTCTCTCTGTGTCCGCCCGCGGTTTCTAGGGTTTTAGCTCCTGCATTGTAGTTTTTGCTCTATGCTGGAAGTGCTTCGCGACGTGGAATGGATTGTCTGGAGGTTGCCAAACGTTTGTGAACTTTTGAGCTTTTTGGTTCGGGAATGGTGAAACAAATCGTCTTCGGGAAATGTGGCGTTTGGACTTTGGATACATATATTTAGAGGCGTTATGCTGTGTGCTGTCTATTTTGCTCTGCTCATGCGTCACACTAGAAGAAAAAGGGAAGTAGGTGTTGGAAGTATGAGTCTCTGAAAATCTGTCTCATTGCTGATTCATAGTGGTCGTAAAAAAATCTAGTCTTCGCACAAGCGTCCAATGGCTTGCAAGGATCCGCTTATCATGTCTCAGATGCAGTTTTTTTTGTGTTTGTAAAGGATTAGTTTCGCGTCGAGCTTTAAATTGAACGCGCTGTGCAGCTATTATGCAGTATACTATAATAGTTGTGAGTACAAGTGTTTCATTGGAGCTTAGTAATCCGGTAGTTGGTGTGTGTTACTTAAGTATTGGAAGAATTGGTCGTGTTCTTTGATGCAGTTTCAGAAATGGAGCTCTGAATACTGTACCAGTTTATATCTTCATATGATAATTTCTTACCCAAATTGCATTTCAGTTTCGTATGCTGCTCAAACAAGTCAATACGGTGTTCAGAGCAGTAAGAAGATCACTATACCCAATGGCAAGGTATGTGAGATTGAATTGGTTCCTTCTGTTCTAAGTTCACACCTTTTTCTCATCCTTCTTGTGCTATAGGTTGGGGTTGTTATAGGGAAAGGAGGAGAAACAATCAAATCAATTCAACTTCAATCAGGAGCGAAGATACAAATTACAAAGGACCAGGAAGCTGATCCCCATGCTCTAACCCGGGATGTGGATTTGACGGGTAATCCAGATCAAATTAGTAGAGCAGAGCAACTTATAAATGATACCATCTCGGAGGTACATTTATGCCTCTTCCTAGTCCATCCAACTCAACAGATCCTTCATGGGCCTCTTCTTCTGCGCATGGGTGCTTTTTCTGTTATAATCATGATCATGTTTAAATTTCTGGAACAGGCAGATGCAGGGGCCTATTCCAACTCTTCACAGGGGTCAAATATAAAGCAATATGGAGCTGAACAGTTCTCTATAAAAGTTCCAAATGACAAAGTGGGTGTCATGATAGTTATTTCTCATATTAATTCAAACATGAGAATGATGTTTGTCCTTCTCATTGAATAATGTTATGTTGATGGTGTAGGTGGGATTGCTCATTGGGAAGGGAGGTGAAACTATAAAGTATATGCAAAACACATCTGGAGCTAAGATGCAGGTGAGTTTGAAAACTAGCAATGACATGATTACTAACTTGGATCTCCATTGGGTCCTAGATGCTTGATGGTTTCCTCAAGGTAGTGAAAAAAAGTTAAATAGTTCTTTCTTTTCTTTGATTTCAAGCAATTTTACATGTGTAAACTCCAGAAGAACACAAGTGTCTTTTATCAAAGGCTTCTTTACTCTTAATTGAGTTATAGCAAGTCCTTTGTATTGATAGCGAGTATCAATCTTCGAAGTACTTGCAACTTTGTCTGGAGATTATGAGAGTGTTCAATGAAATTTCTTTCCCCCATTTCCTTACAATCGTGATTCACCCATGACCATACCTACGTTTCAGCCATTATTAATGTGAATTAATCGCCGAACTTTATATTCTGGTTTCTTAGTACCTTCTTGCAAGTTGGATGACATGCTTTATCTTCAGATTATTCCCCTGCACCTTCCAGCTGGTGATCCAACAACTGAGAGAACTGTATACATAAATGGTACTGCAGAACAAATTGAGGCAGCCAAAGAATTGGTAAACGAGATAGTTAACGGGGTAAGTCATTATACTCGATTTTCACAGTTCAGATCTTTAATGTACAATAAATATTATACCATCACAACTTTTGGTTTGTATTTAGCATCATTATTAGATGAATAGATTTGTTGCAATGAGGGCATTCATGTTCGGTGAAACCTGTAAGATTGACTTCAAAGTTTGACTGCACGATGTTTGTTATACTGTTATTTCCACTAATATTTATGATTAATTTATGCAGAAACGGATCCAAACTTCAGCTGGAACTAACACATACCAACAACAAGCTTATCAGCAGCCTCCTTACTGGGCTTCAGGAGGACAACCTCCGATGCAAGAACAGCAGGCCCAATATGGTTATCAGCAGCCCGGAACTCATCCTACTCCCCCTGCATACTATGGTAACTATGCTACTCAACCACCAGCTTGGGACCAGTCAAGCCAATCTACTCAACCGCCTCATCAATCAACTGGCTATGGTTACTATGGACAACATCAACCACAAATGGGAGCAGCACAAGTTAATCCCAACTATGGCTATGGGCAGGCACCCGGGGCTACTGCCAACAACTACAGTCAGGGTTACGGTCAACAGCCTTCAAGTTATGGGCAGGGTCAGGCAGCGCCAACAAATGACCAGCAAAAGCCATATCCAACTTCGGGTTATGGACAAAGTACAGATGGGACAGCAGCATCATCTCAGCCGAGTCAAGAAGTTCCTGCATATCCCCAGGCTGCCTATAATCATCCTTACTGGAATTCTTCTGGGTACCCAGGGCAACCAGCAGCTGCTCAAACAGGTTATGATCAGACCGGTTACTCACAAGCGGCTTACGGGACAACCACTCAGCAAGGTTATGGACAAGGTGGGTATGCTGCTCAGCTTCCTGCTGCAGGAGATTATGGTCAAGGTGCATATTCCAGTGGTGGTTATGGCCAACAGCAAGTGGAGACGAATCCCCAGACAGGGACAGCGGCCAATGGAGCTACGGAATCCGGAGGTTATGAGGTTACCACCAACAATGAGAATGGTGGGCAGTCGGGAGATGGCTCGAGCAATGGTGTGAAAAAAGAAGGGGCGCCGCCTTCTGAATCTTGAAAACAGCATTGAGGATTTGACATTTGTATGTTTAGTTGTCTATGGTCTCTTCTTGTCTGCTTCCTGGTTATCCCTTATGCACTTGTATACTAAATTTGCAGGGTCGAAAAGAAACGATGTCTAGGCTTTTATGATTTGCGAAATTTTGTCTAAGATGATTATTTGATGTCTGAAACGGGTTAAGCTGTGTAACAAACAATTAGAATGACTTCTATCGAAGCAGATCTCTCTACACTGCCTTCTCTGTTTCAGCCTTGTGGCGAATTTCGACTATTGGATCTGTCTGATATAGGTAAACTATGTAAGATCAATTTACATTGGATGTTTGATATAGCCATACAGGTGAACTATGTACCAATGTTTTTATGGGATGTCTGACGCAATTCAACTATGCAAGAACAATTAGAAAGACGTTTAACTATAACAAAGATATGTAGTTTATTGAGAACCTTGTGAAAAAAAGGATCGGCATCGCAATGGTAACTTGTCTGATTCCATATCAGAAGGTGCCCTGGGAACACTTAGTGTATTACACTAACATAATTATTTGCTAAACTCACAATTTACTGATTTAGACAATTCTATTTACAAGTCTTAATTTTATTTTAGTATATTTGTAGCATATGAATGGGTGAAATCTTAGCTAAAATGCTGAAAAAATGCTAATCAAATGAAGAGAAAACAAATTCTAACTTCATCTATTTGGTTTGGTTGATTAAGCATGATTACTAGACTCTTTACGTCACAAAAACTTGCTGAACTAACACAAAGTACTCACTGTTTTTACCATTTACTCCAACTTGATCCGAACTCACGAATCCAACTATGAACATACGAGTATAGCGAGAAACTCAAGATCCAAACCATCTCCGAGTTTGAGAGGGTTTGGTCTAGTTAGTGCACGAATTTATGATGTATGTGACATGACAAGTATTTTTGACTCGCTCAACCTAATAATAAATTTGACGAAATGAAATTTAGTGTTTTTTTTGTTCATAGTACCTTGTTTAGATAGCATTTTCTTACAGATTCGAGTTTAATGACCTTTTGTTACCAATCTCACAGCATTTGATAGATCTTGTTTTCTATCGGGTTTTAGATCGAGTATGATATTAGGAATTCGAGGACTAGAACTGAGAATTAAGGTTTAGGTGATAGAATTAGAGATTTGGAGAAGAATTGGAAAAGAATTGGGGAAGAGCTAGGAAGAAAGAGGGATAGATTGCAGACATCCTAGAAAGGAAGAGAGAAGAGGTTGAGAGTGGAGAGTGGAGAGTGGAGAGAGATTAGATGTATGGAGATATTTTTTTAATTATTGATTCAGACGTAATGTTAGAGGTCTCAATTGGGCGGGTTGGGTCGGGTTTGGATTGGGTCTAACCGGGTTGGGTCGGGTTTGGATTGGGTCTAATCGGGTTGGGTTCAATCGGGTTGCGAGTTCAATCGGGTCGGTTTCAATTTGGATCGGGTTTAATTGGGTTGCAGGTCAATTGGGATACGATTCAATCAGGTCACTGGTCAATTGGGTTATGGATCAGGTCGAGTTACGGGTGCATCAAATTACGGGTTTATTGAATTGCGGGTTAATTCGGGTTCGGTGAGGTCGGATTATGGGTTATTCGGGTCAACCCATTGGATCATTTACTTCTTGACACAAAATAATATTTTACAAAATTTAAGAAAATGATAATATGATAATACTTTACACATACAAATTAAATATCCATTATGTTAGTATAAAAACTAAATATAAATTAAAAAGTGTATATAAAAGCTTTGTTGGTTATAATTTTTTTGTTTATGGTGAGAGATTGTAACTTCACTTATTTTATTAATTTATAAAAAAATTGAACCAGTAAAAATTTGAGAATGAAGTAAAGAAAGGTAGACTATATGCTTATACATCTCGAAATGAATCATCTTAATTAAATATAGTATGAACTAGATGTGTGTTTCTTCACTTACACGAAGACTTATGAACATCATTCCGAATCACCCACTTATATATCTTCAAATTTTTTTTTAATATATTCACGGTAACATCTCATCCTAAAACTCATGGGTTGAACAACGATTCGCTCAAATATGATATTATCATCTAGTTCTAATCGACGATTTATTAATTTATAAAAAATAAATAAAATCAGTAAAAAGTTGAGAATGAAGTAAAAAGCGTAAACTATCCACTTATATATCTTGATAGGGATCATTGATTTTGGGGATTTCATTGATTTTCAAGGGTTGATTTTTTTTTAATATAGTTATGGGTGGTGGAGATACGAATTTGTGTCTAACTCGTCCTATTATTTTCAAAAATTTATCCTTTGAATTGCATAAAATAAAGAGCAATGTCTATTTTTTACCCAAATCTTTTCAAAATTCTTTTATTTTATCAAAACCTATCAAAATTCTATTTATTATCCAACCGTTAACCCACCGTTAATTGTTCTGTTATGTTTGTTGACTGAGCAACACCAGTCTGAGTTGGAAGCCAATGTGGCAGGCTAGGACAATTTCTATTTTTAATTAAAAAGAAATTTAAAAATAAATATTAAACCCACTCTCTCCCCCCTATTCTTCTCCGCCAAATCTTCTCCAATCTTCCCGAGAGATTTTTCCTTTTCCCCTATTCTTCTCCCCCAAATCTTCTCCAATCTTCCCCCCATATTTTTCTTTTTCTTCCTAGTTGAGCGCATCCAAGTTCCAATTGAGGACAACAAACAGTCAAGAAAGAGATGCCGTGGGTCCAAAGCGGCGCTCAGCTTGGAGAGCTCTACTACGCGATTAGAGGAGGCGGAGCGGGAAGCTTTGGGATTGTGTTGTCGCTCTGTTGCAAATTCTTTGGGATCGTGCTTTTGAATCCAAACGTCGGAGTGCTGCTGCTCTAACTTTCGTCGCTGCAAATTCTTCTGCAGTTACTCCAACGGAAAATCTGCTGGGAGAGAGAAAGAGGAAATAAACCAGAGGGAGGAGCTAGATCGACGAAAATGTCGAGCTGGACGATCGCTTTCAAGCCATTCCAAATCCCAGCTCTCCTCAACCTCCCTCTCCGTCGTCCCCAATTCGCCGTCGGCGGTGTCTTCGTCGGCTCCACCACCACCCTTTGCCGCTCTTCCCGCCTCGCTTCCTCTCCTTTCGCTTCCATGTCCACCTTCACTCTCCCCTGTATGTAACTCTCTCTCTCTCTCTCTCCCCGTAGGGTTTCGCGTTAATTGATCGTCCAATGGCAAAACACGACTGAACTGAACCCTATCTTTTAATACCCACCGATTCTCCATATCCCCCAATAGATCCATTCGCACACGCCGCCGCCTCGACTTTCTCCCCCACCCTATACTTTTGCAAAAAACAAGATGGGTATACTCCATGCCCTCGTCGTAATCGACCTCTGCAGCCTGATCTTTGCTTTTATGGGTTTTAATTTGTTTACTAGTTCTGATTTTTAGATGAAGAAAGCGGTCGCAGCGCTGTGGAGGAGAGATTTTGCCATTTTTTATGATTTTTTCTGATGTGGATGCTGATGTGGACGCTGACGTGGAGATCCGTTAGTAAAAAATTAACGGTAACAGAATGAATGCCCAAACTTTGATTAGTTATAATACATTTGGATAATAAATAGAATTTTGATAGGTTTGGATAAAATAAAAGAATTTTGAAAAGATTTGGGTAAAAAATAGACATTGCCCTAAAATAAAAAATGAATGAAAAGATATTTCACATATTATTATTTTAAAAATTAAATATTTAAGAAAAAACCTCAATTTATACCATCAATTCTAAAAATAATTTTCAATTATTATGAGAATGACAGTTCTTTCTTGGTAAATTTAAAAATATAATAATGTATACATTGAATTTTATATACAAGCATTCAGTTCAAATGGGTTATTCGGGTAATTCGAGTTGGGTTTGGTTCGGTTACGGGTTATTTGGGTTATGAATCATTCGGGTTATAGATGGGTCGGGTTATGGGTTGGATCGGATAACGAGTTCATCGAGTTATGGATTGATCGGATTAGGAGTCAATTGGTTTCGTGTTACGGGCGGGCTTCGGGTGGTTGACTTTTTGTCAAATCGGGTTACGGACGGGTTGTAGGTCGGGTGGGTTAGTCGGGTCGGGTTCAATTTTGACAGCTCTACGTAATGTCAAAGTACATATTTATAAGGAATAATGAGAAATCCTAATAATCAACCTAATATGACTAAAATACTATTAACCATAATAATTATAATTATAATAATATAACCCAGAAAAATTGGTGTCTGTCATACCTCCTCTCCCTTGAGACCAACCTTGCCCTCAAGGTTGTAGTTGACTTCAGTTTTCTTAACGTTCCTCTTTTTTCGTTTCTAATTGCGCTCGAACTCACGAATGAATCCTTCTCCAGCAGCTCCAACGTCCCTCGGCTCTTCTTCAATCTCGTGACACATGTCTCATTGTCCACAACCAAACAATTTTTCATCTTCCTTTTCAAAATCCACTAAATAAGAGTACGAGAACTGCTCTTTCTTGTGTCCATCATCATTACCCACCTTGTCCTCTTCAATGGCCCATTCCATACTTCCACCACGTGCATGGTGGTGAAGACAAGCCATAGCTATTCCCAACCTTCTCTTCCTTCACCCTGTCTCGGCCCACAATTGCTTGGAAGAAAGAGGTGTGGCCCAAACCAATGTCAAGCCCCTTTTTACTCTCCTTGTCTTCCAACTCGATTGGCCCTGGCTCCTTTAAAAGCCCACCAACCAACCTAACAACCCACTCTTCCTTTTCCTCCAAGCAGTGGCGGACCCATAAATTTTCCATAGGGGTGTCCTCTTTTAAAAAATAAACTAAATAAAAATAATTAATAAAAATAAAATCGTAAATATGGAAATACCTTACTCGTACAGGTTAAAAAAATTGTAGAATTGTAGAATACATTTGGTGTTTATAGTGTTCACAAAAATTCTCTATATACCCTACTAGACAATCATTCAGGAACTTATCGCATATTCGATTTGTAAACTTATTCTTGATGTAACCCAAAGCTGAAAGACTCTTTCAACACTTGCCGTACAATAATAAAATCAATACAAATTAAGGATAGATTGAAATTAGTTTATTTGTTAGGTATTTAAAATAATTAGAGATAGGGAATGACTTTTTACTATTACACATTGTTCAAAATCGAACATATGAGTTGTAACTCAATGGGAACTCTAAAAAAAAAAATGCGAAACGCTCTGTCCTCTCTCTTCCTTATGGGAAATTGGCTTGGCCACCTGTTGCTCCGGGTGGTGGTAGCCGGCCTCCCGGCTAGCTTGCTCAACCAACAGAAGAATCAGAAACCTGG